CCCATATACACCTTCACACACAGAGAGAGACACACTCACACTTGTGCATACACACATTTACATACACAATCACACACTCACAGTGGAACTCAAACTCACACACTCACACTCACCTATACATACCTTTACACAGAGACACACTCACACTCGCGCATACACAATCACAGAGGGACTCACACACAGAGAACCAACAGTGGCCCCTTGGCCCTGACGGGGTCTGGGCTAGTGAGGGGGAGTGTTTTTTCCCCAATGTGGACTCACGTGACTCCTCACCCCCTTCACCAGCCTCTGGGCTCAGCCCCACAGGTCAGAGAGGAGGTGAACTGCCCCGTTCAAGGCCAGCACTGATGGGACGTGCTGGGGCAGCCGCTGCCCACAGTCCTGATCTCGTGGCTGAGGTCGCCGCGCTGGGCGGTCCAGCAAGTGTCCCAGTGTCAGTGTGACCCGCAGGTCTCCCTGGCGTGCTCCCAGGACCTGCCCACAGGCTCCGCTCTGCAGGGGAGGAGTAAAAATAGCCAGTGGCTGGGCGCGGCTGGGCTGTAGGTAGCAAGGCAGGTCTTTCCGTGACTCGGGCTCTGTGGAGCATTAGGGGACCTGCGGGAGAGGCTGCCTGCCCAGAAGGGGGAGGGTGCCGGGAAGGCTTCCAGAAGGTTCCCTGGGTAGTGACAGAGGCTGCATTCCACTGGGGGATCAGCACTGCAAAGGCACAAAAACCAGAGGCCGGTGAGGGCAGGAGCCCAGGGGGCCCCGGGGGCAGCTTCAGGGCAGCTGGGGCCAGGGAGGGGGTGGGAGTGGGCGAGCGGTGACACATCTTGGCGTGGATGATGCATCTTAGCCAGGTTCCAGCTTCCTGACTTCCTTGAGCTGGACCCAGTGAGGCCTGGACTCCCATGCTCTGGCCTCTGCGGCCCCCAGGTGCCCCAAGGCCTCGACCCTATGTAGGTCTGGACCTGGGCACGAGAGCAGCAGCCCCCCAAGAGGGCTTGCTCTGGCCCCCCTGGATTAATACCCTCTGCCCTCAGCCCTCGCTCAGCAGAAGCCACACGTGCTGACAGTTCTGGGCGACCCTGGCCGGCTCCTTCTCTCCTGTCCCTTCCCCACCTGCTGGGACAGGCGAGCTCTGCTCAGAGCTCTGGACACACACGTGTCAGCTCCTGGGTCAGAGGTCAGATGTGGGTGTCTGGGGCAAAAGCCAGGCATCGGCCCTCAGGGGACCCCTGCCCTGTTCTCCGCAGTTCTTGGCTGTGGCCCCTGCCTCCAGCCTGAAGGGTGAAGCCTTCTCACCCGTGACTCTCGGAGGAGCCTCTGAGGGCGCGTGCGGCTGGCCGGGGTCAGCCTTTTGTCACCTGTGCAGGGTCCTCACGCTGTGGGCTCTCACCCACTCCAGCTCTGGACATGAGCACTGGGCATCTTGGCGGCATTGCTCTGAACCCTTGACCTGGAGTTTGCTTTGGAGGACGCCACCAGAAAGCCCCAATGTTCACCCTGGCCCTGAGGACCCCAGGCAGGGTTACGTGAGCGCCTAACTCCTTAGCAGTGCAGCCTTCAAATGACGGGCTGGCCGGTCTTTTTTTTTTTAAGCTTTTTTCTTTTTGACTTTGGGGCCAAGCTCAGCAGTGGGGCTCAGGGAAGCTTATGGGTCGTGCTGTCCCCACTGTGACCCGCTCCCCTGGCCTCATCACTGCCCTCTCACCCTGAGTTCCTTCCCAGAGCCTTGCCCACTGCTCCTCAGAACCTCGGAAACCAAGATCATCAGGGCTAAAAGGCAGGCTGAGAACTGAAGCCACCTGTGGGATGGAGATGGCAGCTCTGCTCCCCTGGGGTGGGGTCCTCAGGACCCGCTGTGAACCCCATGGGGCTTGCGTTCCAGGGGACTGGCTTAGGGGCTTCACTTCTCCACGTCTGTGAGGTAAATGGGAGTAATAATGTGGCAGTAATACTGGGTGGGGGGGTTGAGTACAAAGTAAGAGGACTTGGGGACAGCAGATGGTCCTGGTGCGGGCATCCTTGATCCCCTCCTGCCCCATGCCCTGTCCCTGGCTCCCAGTGGGTGAGATTCTGCGTCCTGCTTCCCTGGGCCACTCCTCCCAGCAGAGACTCCTGTGTGGCTCTAGCCTTTCTCTCTCCTTGCTCTCAGCTTCCTGGTGCCACTGGGCAGCTGTGTGGCAGCTGAGGCACTCCGGGGCCCCTGGACAAGAGCTGGCACCTCCTCCATGGCCCCATTGTGGGCTTCCCGGGACCTGCCTCCAGAAACCCATGTTCAGGGCTGCTTCTGGACACCCGCTCCTTCCGTTCTGAGTCAGGTTGTAGTTACTTGGCCTGGAGACAGTCGAAACCCACCTGTGCTCTCAGGCCTGCCCAGTCCCGAAGGCTGAGCATTGGGGGATCTTCCTTTTGCTTCTAGTAATGGGGATGGGGTGAATAAAATCTTCAATCCTTTTCTTGGTCTGGGGCAGAGGTGGGGGCACTGTGAGACTGAGAGGTGGGGGAAGATGCCTCTTTGCAGGAGAGGGGGAGGGGGCGTCCCTGTCTACAAGGTCCCCCAGACTGAGGGCAAAGCTTTAGGGTCCTGCCTGCGGCTCCAGCCTCTCCCGCCAACCCGGGTTTGATTCCCACATCCTGTATGGAATCCAAAGGCTTGGAGACATCAGGTGCTCTGTGGCTGTTCCTGCCATCTCCATCTTTTTTTTGGGGGGGGCATATCCGGTGATGTTCGGGGTTACTCCTGGTTCTGTGCTCAGGAATCAGTTCTGGCAGTGCTCAGGAGACCATATGGGGTGCCAGGGATCAAGCCTGGGTCAACCACGTGAAAGGCAAGCGCCCATGTGCTGCCTCTCAAGCCCCATCTCCCTTCATCTTTTCACTTAAATTTCCTTCTTTCTGGGGGCCAGAGCAATCGTACAGCCAACCTGGGTTTGATCTTCAGCATCCTATATGGTTCCCTGAGCACTGGGAGGAATGATCCCTGAGTGCAGAGCCAGGAGGAAGCCCTGAGCACCACTGGGTGTGGCCCCCAAACAAAAACAAAGACACCAACTGTCCCTCCTTTCTGGAGAAGACCAGCTTCTTGCCACAGCCATCAGCCACAGCATCATTTCGGTATGTGCCCATAGACACTGCTGGCCGCACCAGTAAGCTTCAATTAGACCCGCTTCTCTATCAACACTGGGCACCAGGGCTGTTAGTCACCGTGGAATGACCTGGTGGAGGACTCCCCGGCGTCCCTCGGTCCTTATTTACCACTCAACCAATGTTTAGCAAGTGCGCCGGCTGCGTGCTTGGCCTGGGGTGCCTCCCTGCTCAGGGCAGAGCTGGGTCAGAAACAGAAGAGCAGACTGGGAAGTGCAGCGTTCGGGTGTGATGGGACAAGCCAGAGAAGACAACCATGGGGCTGGGGTGGGAGAGGCGTAAAGGAGGTTCCCTTGGGGTTGTAGGTCTTGGGTGGGGGACACTGAACTTAAGATGCACACTAAAAACTTGAGATGCACACACGTGCGCGTACACACACACACCCATACCCCAGGTACCTCAAGGAAGGTGAGCCACTTTATGTGGACAGAGGTTAATGTCACTGAAAAGTGACATTGCAGCTAAACCTGGAAAACAAGGAGCCAGCCTGGGAGTAGGAGGAATTTCCTGGGCAAAGGCCCTGGGGGCTAGCACCAAGCACTTCTTTGAGAACTTTTACAAAGTGTTTCAAGGATTAGGGGCTCTTTTGTCAAGGAAACATTTAACAAATTATTTTCTTCAGGGAGTATTTTAAAATCTTACCTGTAATCTCCATCCTTCTAATCCAAATTAATTCTAACTCTATTTAAACACCTCCTCCAAGAAGTCTCCTTCCACTTTTTTTTTTATAAAAACTGTTGTTTAAATGAGAAAAATAAGATAAAATGAGCTTTCTCTCTCTCAAGTTACCTTGTTTCCCTTTTTTGAGCATAGCTGATAGATTGTTACTATTTAAAACCTTTGACAGAATGAGTCCTTTCATAAAATAATGACATAAAGTCACCTCAGCTACAGAAATAAGAAATTGACCACTCTGCAGATGCCGTGTGTGGAATGTTTATGGGGGTGGTGGTGAAGACACTTTTTACCAGTCTGTGACACCTGGATATGGCCAGACTCAACCCCCTCCACCCCTGGGCTCCCGTGACCCTTGCTCCCTACTGTAACCTGGGACTTCCCACACCCTGCAGTCTTCCTCCGCCTCTTGAGTCCGATCTCCCAGAGGGCAGGGCCACCTGGCTCAAGCCCAGGCACAGGGCAGGTGCTCCCGGGCGACTGGCTGAACTGAGGCTGCGATTCCTGAGCAGAGACATTCCAGAAGGAAGCAGGGCGGGGGGCAAGGTGCTGAAGGGAGCACGCGAGGCTAGGGGAGCCCTCCAGGCCCCAGAGGCAGGTTCAAATCCTTGGCAGTGAAGTCGGGGGGGGGGGGGGGGGATCAGGAATGCCCAGCTTGCTCCCAGCGGCAGGGCCGGGGGGTTCTGGGCCTGCGCCCTGACTCTGCCGGGCGCAGTCGGGGCTTCTCGAGGACAGCCCGGAGCGGTCCCCTCCAGGGTCCAGTAGCCCCTGCCCGCGTGGGTGATCGGCGACGGTGCGGGAGAGGCCGCGGGTGCGGGGCCCTGCGGCTTGCGGGCGGGCGAAGTAGGTGACCTCCCCGGGGCCTCCGTCCCTGGGGGCGGGGGCTGCTGTCTGGCCTCTTTTTCGGGCAGTCGAGACGGGTGGGGCGGGAAGGCTCGGACGCAAAGGTCAGCGCCCCACGTGCCTCCCACTCCAGACGTTTCTTCGTTCCCGCCTGCTTTCCGCTGCCGTGGCGCTCGGGGGGCCTCCTCGGGTCAGCCCTCGCCGGGCGCGGGGGGCGGGGGCCGCCTCCCCCGGGCAGGTGGCGGGGCGGCGGCGGCGGCGGCGGCGGCGTGACGTCACCGCGGCGCGCGGCCGGGCGGAAGGATCTGGAGCGCCGCGGCCGCGGGGCGCTGAGGCCGGTTGCCGGGCAACGGAGCGGGGCGGCCGCCTCCCGCCCTCCGCCGAGTGGCGCCGGCCGCCGCCGCCGCTTGACGTCAGGCGCAGGCCCGGCCGCCCGGCGCTCGGCTGCCCCCGGAGCCCCGCAGCGCGCGACAGGCGCCCCCGCCGGCCGCCGCGCCCCCGGCCGCTCGGCAGGTACGCGGGGAGGCCGGGCCGGGCCGGGCGGGCGGCGGGGCGGCGGGCCGGGGACGGCGCCGGGCCGCGGGGCTGCGCGGGCCGCGGGCTGCTGCGGGGGGCGGCGGGCGGGCGCCGGGGCGTGAGTCCGCACAATGGCCCGGCCCGCCCGCCGCGCGGGGACGGCCGTGGAGCGGCGGCCCCGGGGGCGGCGCGGCGGGGCGCGGGGCGGGCGGCGGCCGCGGCGGGGCGGGCGCGGGCGGCCCGGGGGTCCTCGCCGCGCCAGCTTTGTCCTTTCGGGGCCCCCGGGGCGCCGGGCAGCGCCGCGGGGCGGGGCGCGCGGACTGACGGGCGCGCCGGCCAATGGCGCGGCGCGCGCGGGGCGGGGCGGGCGCGGCGCAAGGTTCGGCGAAGGTGACGGGCGCGGGCGGGCCGGCCGGACCCCGGGGCGCCCCCTGCGCCGCCCCCTCGCGGACCCGCCGCGCCTGGGCCCGGCTCGTGGCGGAGGCCCGCTCGTGGCCTCCTCGGCTGCCCGCGGGGGCAGGGCCCGCACGCTGCTACCTCGCGCGCGGGGCGGGGCGGCGGGCGGGGGCCGGCGGGGGCCGCGGCCCCGGGAGGGAATCCGTCCCCGCCTCCGCCGCGCCGGGCCCCGGGGCGCCTTTCCCTCCGGCGCCCCGCGGCGGCCGGGCGTTCGGCGTGCGGCCTCCCGGGGCGCGGTGGGCGAGGCCGCGGGTGGGCCGGCGCCCTGGCCCGAGGCGGTGCTGCGCAGAAAGCGGTTTCTGCGGTCGAGCCCCCAGGTTGGCTGCTTCTGTGCGCCGGGAGGGCCCGGGCAGACGTCGCGACCCTCCACGCGCGCTTTGCGCTTACGGCAAGGGAAGTCTACCCTGCTGCGTCCTGAAGGTCAGAGAGTCTTCCCTGAGGTCTCTCGGATGGTCCAGCCTCGCGTGGGCACTCCAGGGCTTTGGACCACCTCTCGGTAACTCACGGTTCCCAGTCTCGTGCTTCCACGCACCTATAGGTGAGCTCCTTAGGACGGTTGCTTCTTCAGTGCCCGATGGAGTGGAGAATGCCTCTCTAGTAATTTGGAGGCGCTTGCGTGCCTGGCTTTGGCTTCGTATGTAGATCGCTTTTACATTGGCTTGTTGCCCATTTGACTGCTAAAACATCTGAGAAGGGCGAGCCTTTAATGTCATCGGTAGTGCAGTTGGGGCCCCAGACTCCCTCCCACTCCCTCGCTCACGGAGGGGGGGGGGTGGTTCCCAGGACCACTTCTGGGTCTGCGTTCAGGGGCCAAGCCTGGCAGTGGTCTGGGGACCAGATGTGGCCCCAGGGATTTGAACCAGGTACCAGGTTCACAGCTGCACAGAAGGCCTGGATCGTAACCTCTGTACCGCCTCCCTGGCCCCAGATTTTGTGTTTCTTGAAACCTGGTGCAGACCTTACCTGTTAGTAACATAAGGCCATGCTCTATCTTAAGGGTTATTAGCTGAATTTTTACACAGTTGCAAACACTTAAGAAAACCAAAAGGGTTTTTAGTCTCTGTCCATGACTGTGCTTTATTTTACAGCTGCAGTTTCAAAGGCAGCAGGATTGATTTTTGGTTTGCATTGTGTGGAAAAGTACTGAGTCTGGGTTTTCTCCCTGTTCTTCGCAGCGTTTGTCTTGGAACAGGAATGGCCTCTGAGCCAGTTTTCTGCTGCAATATGGCAAGGGTGGGGATACCTGTCTCACCAGAGGGTGGCCTGACCAAGTGCTTGTGAATTCCAGCAGCGTTTGACTGCTTTCAAGTGTCAGAGTAGTGCCTGCATGGCCGAGCCTCAGATTCCGTTCTTGGCTTAGAGCTTCGCTTTGCTTTTCGGGTTCACCTGGCCCCTTCCTGTCCACACTCCACTCTGCTCCTCCCAGCCTCTTCTCTAAACGCAGGTGAGAGCTTGCTGGTCGCAGGCCCGGAAAGCTGGTAGGCTCTTTGTTGTTTGGAGCCCAGACCCCGGCCCTCGGCCCTTGCTGGCAAGGCCTGGTACACCTGAACTTAGCCTTCTTAGACAGTGTCCCCTTCCGCTCGGCCTTACTACAGAAACTGCCCCTGCCTCCCGAGACAGGCCAGGCCTGGCCGTGTGCTTCCCTGCTCCTGTTCTCACTCGACTGGAATGCCCTCTTTTACGCCCACCGCCTCGAGGCCGAAAGGGTCCACCTGGAGCTGGGGAAGGCGGCTGAAGCGCGAGAGCCCATGTGTGGTATGTGCTGGGCCCTGAGTCCCACCTCCAGCACCACACGGTTCCCCACGCACCACCAGGCGGGACCCCAGCAACAGTTAAGAAAGTCCGTTAGAGTAAAGTCGAAGTCTGCGATCTGCTTATGGAATATAGTATTAGAAAGAATTTCAGTGACAGAGTGCCAACCATAATACTCAAATGCAGTTTTGCTATGTTGAAGATAGTTAAGACGTAGAATATTTCTTTCTTTCAGTTACTCTTGGTCTCTGTAATGCCAAGTGGGGCAGTCACTCTCATTTGCCTCCAGCTTTTCAGACTCTCTGAGTCTGCGTTCCTGACTGGGAAGGGATTGCGTCTTGGGTAGAGAAGCAAGCAGAACACAAATTCTAGAATTTTCCTTATGTCCTGCTGTGAAATAGAAGGGTGACCAGAGGGGAAGCTTTGGAAGGTGGTTAGAGAGTGTCACTGTGCTGGTGCTTTGGTGGTCTCCTGGGCATGCACTCCCTTGTGCCGTGATGTCCAGAGGTTTGTGAGCCAGTGGGACATCAGTAACATTAGAAAAGACGCTCTCTTTCCTGGAGATCCAGTTGCACCACAGCAGATTACATGCCTTTGGTTAAAATACTTTCGGAAGGGGATCAGAGATATGTAACACATCTGGTAGGACTCTTACCTTGCAAGCAGCTGACCCAGGTTCAATTCCCGGAACCAGATGTGTGCCCTCAGTCCAGAGCCAGGAGTAAGCCCTGTGCACTGCTGGATATGGACCCAACCCCTTCCCCAGTGCTTTAGGAGGGAGAAATTTATTGTACTCAAAGAACAATTTGCTGGGGGAGGGGGGAACTTAAAGGGTGTTAGACCTAAACACTTTGAAAGACTCAGACTTGGGTCTGGTCTTGGTTCATTCTCAGTCCGCCCCCTCCAAGTTACGGGCAAGTGGGTGAAACCCTTCTTGGGCTCCAGTCTCGTTCTGTGGAATGAGAAACATGGCGCTCAGCTGATGCTCTGCAGGCGGCTGTCGGGTATGTCCTGCTCACCTCACAGCACGCTGGTCCTACTTGACCAAGGCTGAAACTTCTGTGATCCCCCACTCCGACTTCGTCACACCTGAGGGGCGTGACCCTAATGTCTTCCTCTTCGCAGGGGAGACTTTCACCTCAGAGGTGCCACTAGCTACTGGCCCTTTGGGGATTAACGTGAGAGGGTGAGGAAATTCTTTAGAGACTGTTGCCATCTGCCTGGTTCAATGTGCAGCCTCATCTCTCACTGCATCGTCGCTCATCACCTTGTGTTTCAACATTAGGACCTCTGGCCGCTTGTGTGGTCAGTGGCCTGACCTATTTACTCTGGAATCTCCTTCCTGATTTTTCCCTCTTCATAGAGTCCTTTCTACTGAAGAGCCAGCTCCGGAGTTCCTCCTCTGAAAGAAGTCCCCCTCCCATTTGCAGAATCAAGGCTCATTATGTTCACGTGGTTCTTGACTGATCACTCAGCTATTTTCCCCTTGTGACTGATACTCAGTGCTCAGTCCTGACTCTGCGCTCCTGGTGGACTTGGGGGACAGTGCAGGGAGCTGGGGATCAAATCTGGGTCAACCTCATTCCTGGCAGACTCCTTCCCTGCTGGTTCGGCCCCACCCTTATACATTTTAGTTTATTCTTTACCTGGAGGACTTTCCCCTATTATTACTTTTTTGAGGGAAGAGGTGGAGGATCTGGGTGGAGGATGCTCAGCCCGGATCCTTCACCTTCATCCTCCACCCAGATCCTCCACCTTCCGGTGGGCAGGGGTCACACCCACCATCTGACCCCCAGCGCTGTGTAATCCCATCAACGGCCAAGATCCAGAGACTATAAAACTCAGCTCCCAGAAGCGTGCGTGCAGCCGCGTGACATTTTATGATCTCATTCTTACTTTGGACGACCTGGCAGTTACCGAATGTTACCTGCCCACACGGCAGAGTCTGGCAAACTCCCCGTGGCGTACCCGACATGCCAGATACCAGTAACAATGATGGGTCTCATTCTCCTAACCCTGAAAGAGCCTTGAATATAGCACTTTTGAAAATCTCAGGGCTAGGCGAAGGAGAAGTTACTGGGGCCTGCTCGAGGCAATCGACGAACAACAGGATGATTGTGATCTGAGGGAAGAGAGGAAACTCGTTTATTGCAGATCCTCTCTGTATTGTGATCTTTTGCAGAATACTTGCAGAGGCAGCCTCTAGAATGGCTTTTGGGGAGAGCTGCAGTGACTCTTGGCCCAAGGAGGCTCCGTGAACAGCAGTGGGTGGGCACATTGGTTGGTTGATTGTGATGGTTTGTTATATCTTTCTGGTATATGTGTGTAAAGGAAAAATATCGGGGTCCCCATTTGTACCTCTTTCATTTGTGGAGAAGAAAAGATTTGATGGGAGATTGATGATGGTGGTCCTAAATTATTCCAAAGACAGGCCTGTCTGTGGGTGAGGGGTTTTGGCATGTGGCTTGAGGAAGTATAGAAAGTGGCAGTTGGTGTTTGTTTTTGGGGGAGTGGGCCAGGCAATGCTCAGGGACCCAGGGACCACTTCCAAGGGTATTTGGTATTTCAGTGCTAGAGCCTGAGAATCTCCAGGGCGGGCGGTCAGGAGGTCCTGAGGTGCCAGGATCAAACCTGGCTTGGGTGATGCCTAACTGCTGACTGTCTCCTGGTCCCAAATTCTCAAATTTTCTACTAAACATTTTTTTCCATTAAAGCAAATGTTTTTATTTTAATAGGTGATCTTGTAATTATTCACGAAGCAATAAAATCTCCCTGTTAAGTATTGGGAG